TTAGTAACAAGTGCTACTAGTAACACGGGCATCGCTCCTAGTAACAAGTGCATTACTACTAGTAACAAGTGCATTACCACTAGTAACAAGACGCTACTCGTACCAAGGGCATCGCTACCAGTAGCTTCTGCCCTGCAGGTTGCATCCCTGTCCTCCTGAATGATCGTTACGAGGCTCCCTTTGGTGAGTTTGCGACTTGCCTATTGTGAGCTCGGATGGATCTTGGAGGAACATCCCTTGTTGTGTGGAATTCACTCCCAAATCATTCATGGAAGGAAGGGGAATATACATGAAAAACATTTGAATGATCTTGCTCCAATTTGAAGGGCCCTATTCTGCATTAAGGAGAGTTTCCTTCACCTCTCAGACGGACTCTGCTGAGTCAAAACTTGATAATTTCACTTCAAGTTCCCACCTGGCATTGACTGACGAACAACAAATGTCAAACCGAACAAATCATGCCTCCACAGGTTTTTGCCCCACCGTCCACTGCTCATGTGACCCGCTCGTGTTGATCTGCCCACAGCCCAGGTTGATCTGTCGAAAGCAGTGATCAAGTGGCCCATGACCGAGGTGCGAACCGCTTTTTCGCGGTAGGAGGAGTGTGGTTTGAGGCGCCGCCAGTTGAGGTTTGTGTAGTTCCGAGAAAAAGAAGGAACGTGTGTTGAGGTTTGTCACGGTTTGTGAGTCATGACTTGGTTGGAGCTCGAGGTTGATGCCCTGATGGAGTACTTGAAGCAATTGGTCTTCCAGGACTCTGACAGGCGAGCCGTGCTGTGGCCTGTGCCCTGTGTTGGGATGGAGATGTTATCATGTAGTTCCTGAAGATCAAACAGATTGGACATACACATCCCAAACCACAGTCCAATGGTTTCGCAGAGTTGCTTTCCCATACATCGTTCCCCTGAGTCAACTTTTCAGGAGTCAGCTTTTGAATGGTTTTGATGCTGTTCGTGTGAGCAGAAGAATTCCATGCGTGCAATTACTATCATTGCTGCCCGCTTCGGTTTCAGCCATGATGCGTAGTGATCGCTGCAGAAGCGGGATGGTCCAAGTGCAGCACGGCGCTTGTGCCCAGTCTCTGGACACGGTAGGACCCGTAGGACCTATGTCTTCGACGCCCCAAACAGAACAATCATGGACATGAATTTCAAAGGAAGAAACTGCCTCAGAATGGTCCCTCCATTGTCCTTCACAGCGAGCTCATTTGGCTCAAGAGCCGTTCTTTCACCATGGTGAAGAACGCGAAGAACGACGACGAGGTGCAGTCAGTGTTGAAGCCTTTGACGCCTGACCTGCGGCTAAGCTGGGACAGTTATTTTGCGCCTGAGCGCTTGAGGGAAGAGCTGATGCATATCGCGGTCTCTTGGCCATTTTCCAGCAAGCTTGTGCTCCTGCCTCCTTTGGGGTCTAGAGTCTAGGCGACGCCCGAATGTATTGAAAGAGAATTGGTGGCGGCGAAAACCCTTTTTCAATGTTCAGCGTCATTTCTGTTTTATGCTTGTTTTTGAGCACCTTTTTTGACCTCAGAGTGAAGCGGAAGGAAACAATGGACCCCGTGTTCCAGCAGAAGTTGCAGGCACGCTGAGTGTGAATTGCTGCGCTGCAGTGTTTTCTTGGCCAAACGGCCCAGCAAAGCCTTTGATTTTTCATGTTTTTTTACGGAATGCGTAGCAAAGGGTTCTGGTGACCAACTTTGGGAGTGACAAGGACGTTGCTTTCATGTCCGCAACCGTTCCCAGCCGCTTGAATGTGATTGATAGGGTCCGGCCGTTGGGGAAAGGCTTTAGAGGTTTTGGGTGGAAGGCTGAAGTGTCAGATTCGTCTGAAACAGTGTAGAAAGGTCACATGTGGAAGTGGAGGAGTGGAGGAGTGGAGGACGATTGGCGGTGTAAGGCTCAGTTTCCTTCGCTGCCATCTGGATCTGCGTTCGCGGAGGTGTTGGATGTTGCTGTGCCATTGGGATTTGTGTTTCGTGACACGTCTCAGCTCAAATGGCAACTTTGGTGGATGTTTTTTTGTGCTCAGCAAGTGCAGAAATCACTCCAAGTCAGTGGTGTGGTGCTTGGTGAAGACGCGAAGATTGTGATGTAGTAGTAGCGTTTCGTGGCAGGCGCTGTACTTTGTCCGTGTTGGAGTTATCGTGGCAGGCGCAGAGAATCTTGAGGTTGAAACGTGTGGTGGAGATGAATGTCGCTGTGCGCCGTGCCATTGGATTGGTGTGTCAGCAGCTTTGTGTTTTGGTGGAAAGTGCGTTTGAGTGGCCCCGTATTGGCGGAAGTAGAGCATGCGTGTGTAAATGCGGCGTGTCGCTGTGGCGCGGAGCGAAATTACGCCTTGATGTCGTTGTGCCATGCGGTTTGAATTTGGCGTTCATGCCTCCAAGCCTTTTGTTGCGGGAGGGCCTTGGGATATTTGGCTTCGGCGCTGACATACCGAGAGGTACGTTGCCGTGACCGCTTGCAGTCACCGACCTGTGCGCTTTCCCATCCTTGGTTTTGACAGAGCTGCTCAATTTCCTCAGCCTTCCAGTGGGAGCCAGGTCCTTCATCTTCAGGTTTCCTTTCAGTACCCAACATCGCCGCCAAACCCTTTGGGCAGGAGCAATGGTTGTTTGCGCGAAGTCGCCAGTTCACAGCCCGCTGATAGCAGTAGCGGCCGTCTGTTTCAGGATGGTTGCGCGGAAACCAAACAAACTTGGGGGGTTGACACACTTGTGGGACACTATTGTAGGGCACTTTCTTATGGGCCACTCGTACCACTGTGCGAGCCATTCGATGTCAAAGACGCGACGCGTGGTTGCCTTATAAGACCTCAGAGACCAATCCGCTTAAGCGTGTCATTTCTTCTCATTCTTGTTCCAAAACGGATAGTCCCAAGGGTGAAACGTTTGTTGCTCCGACTCTCATGGATCCGAAAGATGACGACCCAACACCATTTCGGGCGCCCTCAACACACTCAACGCAAACGGAAAAATCAAAGATCACTTGTGGACCGGAGACAGTGGTTGGAGAGCTGTTGCTGACTGTCTTGGTTGGGAAAAGAAGTTATGGATCGGCATTTGCTTGCGGCGGGCCGGTGCAGGGGCGGGCTGGCGCGGGCCGCCGGTGCTGATGCTGGATCGGCGTTTTCTTGGGCGTGCTGGTGCAGGTGCTGGTGCTGGATCGGGAGTTTCCACTGACTGATCGACTGTGTTTGGGGACTTTGTTGCTATCTGCGGTGATGCTGGCATGATTTCCACCTCTTAAAGTTTTCGGGTTGGCAAAGTCTCAGATGTTTGCCCCAAGACCATTTCCATTCTCCTTCATTTGCCGCTCTGAGCAGCTCTCTGCGAGACGACCCCAGCCGGCAGCGTTCCCGCACAAGGTTGAAGACTGCGCGCGCCTGCATTGGTGAGGGAATTTATCCTGAGTGTTGACCCTGCAATATCCCAGCATTGTCCCGCAAGTGCATGAGTGTCCACAGTGCCCCAAGAGTGTCCCACAAGAGTGCTCCACAAGACTGTGCCACCCACAAGACTGTGCCGCAAGAGGAGTGCCCCACAAGACCTTTTCACAAAGAAGAATTTGCCACGAGGGCCCCGCAAGAGTGTCCAACAAGAGAATGCCCTACAAGACGATGCCCTACAAGAATGTCCTACATGAGTGCCCCACAAGAGTTTCCCACAAGAGTGGCGAACATTGAGTGCGTCTGTGTGCATTCCGGTTCGTGGGTGACGTTGTGTTCTTTTTGGAACTGGGCCTGGGCAACACAGCCATCGCAATTTTTTGATCACTGGGGCAGTACGGAAGGTTTGGCGGGAGGTTTGTTCAAGTTGCAATGTTTGAGTTTATAAGCTTTGTATACATATACATAAAGAAATAGACATAAAAGTAGGAATACATTGTTATCATCATCCCCTAAACACACTAATTAGACGTGAAGCCCACTTAGTTAAAGCTGATGGAAAGTGGACTTTTCATAACTCCTCACGTCCTGAGGCTGCCGAATACCAAGAGGTGCTTTCGAGAATGCCCAGTGCCAAGAACAGTCATGCCAAGAACAGTCAGGCCATGCGTACAGCAAGGCACTCAGCCGAGGTGGATCTCTTGTAAACGCAACTGCAAGCAGCGCGGCTTGGTTTGCAAAGCGAAGGGTGCATACTGCATATTGTAAAGGCGCAGACTTAAGATGGGAATCATGTTTGTATGTTTCATGCCGATGGCCTTTGTCCTTCGTGGTCCTAGGCGGCGTCTAAAAGAAGAGATACTCCACTGCATTCAGCAGTTTCTTTGACAGTCCAGTCCATATTCAAAGTCAACTTAGATTACAAGAACACTGTTGGTTTTGATTCATGATCCATACATGTCCAAACTCTACTCTGCTGGCAGCTGACGCACCGCGTCCCAGGTTGGAAGCAAAATTGAAAGAACTTCAGACGAAAGATGAGAAGTCACCTGCAATCGACGCCTACCACATTGGATGTACCTGCGCTTGTCAAGCAGGACGTCAAATCAGATGTTGAAAGCATGGCGTTCCGCTTTCCAGGATTGGACAAAGTGGTGAAGACCATCACCAACAAGATGAAGTCAATCGAAAGATCGACGTATGCTAATTGAATAGTGCTGGATTAATAGACTGGCGGCTGTTCACACGATTTTCCAAGGGGTTCTAGGACATGACACTGGCTTTTGACTTGCTCTACGAGTATTTCAATCACCTGCCTAATTCATCCAAGAACAAAGTAACCACTTGGTATCAGAAATGTATTGTTATGTACTTTTTTGTTTGTATATTCCACAACCATGTTAATGTTTGGTAAGTATGTGTTGGATGCCTTGAAATGTGACATGGGAACGGAACGACTGCCGATGCAACTTCAATTTGCAAAATTCTAACTTTATCCCGGGCCCTGTGAACAGTTCGGCTCCAGGAATCTCAATCCAGACCAAAGGTAGGGCGCCCCTCTTCTACCCTTGGCTCCCTCCTGGAAGTGGTGAGTCAAGCGAACCGAAAGGTTTGGACGTGGTGCCGGGAATTGGACTCAACATTAGAGCGTTGGACTCTTAAAAGAAACCAACTGCTCCAATGGTTAGTCTGTTGGAAAGAGAAGGACGTCTTCTGGGAGGTGCGTCCTCCGAGAGAACCGCGAAGGGCAAAAAGACTGCCTAAAAACAAATCTAACTCCATCTAAAGCCAAAATGCGAAGGACAAAAATTGGCGAATACTAGGAGCAAGGACGCTACTAGGGGCTCCTGGCCTTACTACTAGGAGCAAGGACGCTATGAGCTTGCACTTTGATGACTACGTGGCTATACGTGGCCTTATACTGGCTAAAGCTTTGACCAAAGGCTCCCAGGTGCTCGTGAGGGTTTGACTGGCGAGGCTCCTCGAGCTCCAGGAGGCCGGCAAGGAGCTCCGGTGCTGGTACGCTTGGCCACCCAGCTGGGTGGAGTGGTCCTGGCTGGAAATGAACAAGTCCAAGTTCAACAAGACCTGCCAGGCGCGAGGGAGGCTGCGTGCTGAGCGAGACGGGGGAGAGAGAATTGCTAAGATGTGGATTGAAAGTGGATCAGGAGATTTCGTGGGGCTGTGTAGTGGACTGTTTGTTCCTAATTGAACTTCGGTGCAATAGCAGAACATCAGGAGTTCCCGTTTGTTTCCGGCAGGACTGGCACCTGAGAAACGCGCAGGGACACTCAGCCAGTCCGTTTGAGAAGTCAGCCAGCGCATTGCGCATCATTGCGCCAGGAAATCAGACCCCCAAACAGTTTTGGATGTTTTGGATGTAAGTGCAAGAGGCCTTTAGATTCTGTGTTCCCAGGAAGATTTTCGGCCGTGGGCGATGGCTGAGGTATGTTGCGGTAACTCGATTGCTTGCCACAAAAGCAGGCGGGGCTGCTTCTTCAGATTCGTGGGATCAGAGCAGCGTACGCGATGACATACCTGCTTGCTTGCTTGCTTGCTTGCTTGCTTGTCCATGCTTGTCCATGCTTGTCCATGCTTGCTGGTTCATTCGCTCCTTTTTTGGCTTTTCTCCTTTCAGCAGACAAAGGTCCAGATTTCTGCATGATTCCGGGCGCATTTCAGGTAAACCAACCAGGGTTTTTCCGTTTGGCTGTGACATTGGCTAGACACTCCACATGCCCGACCAAGGCAGCGCCCGGAGCCGCTTCTACTGGCCCAACGCGGCAGCAACGCCCACTGCCCTGGAGCGGCCGGGAGCGCTCTGAGAGAGGGGACCAGTCTGGTGCAGAAAAGAACGCCCTTGCCAGGAGCTGCTAGTAGCGTCCTTGTTACTAGTAGCGATGCCATGCCCTTGTTACTAGTAGCGTCCTTGCTCCTAGTAGAAATGCCCTTGTTACTAGTAGCGTCCTTGCCCCTAGTAGTAAGGCCAGGAGCCCCCAGTAGCGTCCTTGCTAGAGCAAGGAAGCATGCCGCTGTTAGTGTTTTTCCATGTTTTTCCCGGTGTTTTTAGGAGGTTTGAGAAACTCCCGGTGGGCGGAGTGGAAGGGCGCAGCTTGCGGAGCGGAGGAGCGCAGTTAGCCAGAGACCTGGCATCAGGAATGCAAGTCTTTTAGGCTCCGTGAAGATCATTCTTTTTCTGAGTCCGCTTGCATGATGTTGCACCTGTTTGCAAGATTCAGGAAGCATGTCTGGAAATCTAAGTTGAGTTGTCACTGTGGCGGAGTTTTTAGGCTCAACTTGCTGTCGCAGGTAGCAAAGTACCCCCTACTTATCTGGGAATCATGGTACGTTCTTCGTGGAAAGTCTTGAGCGTGGCTGCCGCGCTGGTAGCTTTGTACAACACTTGCAACAGCTGGAGTTTTGTGCCGGGGCCATTGAGAAAACATGCGC